TTATATCAGTATTGTCCAAAGTTTTCGAAAAACTTCTACTAAGAAGAATAAACAAAGACTTAAGACCAGACGAATGGATTCCGCACCACCAATTTGGATTCCGACAGGGACACTCTACTGTGCAACAGATTCACCGTTTAACAAACATCATAAACAAAGCATACGAAGCGAGACAATATTGCACAGCAGTGTTCCTAGACGTCAGCCAGGCTTTCGATCGGGTGTGGCACAGTGGCCTACTATTCAAGGTCAAACAAACTCTCCCACCAAAGTACTTCAACCTCTTCAAATCTTACCTAAGGGACCGTCAGTTTCACATAAAAGTGGGTAATGAAAAGTCTGAACCACAACCAATAAAAGCAGGTGTACCACAGGGAAGCGTCCTTGGCCCAATGCTTTACACTCTATTCACATCTGACCTACCCACTTCCCCAGACACATCTACTGGAACATTTGCAGATGATATAGCCATTTTGACAACCAACGAAGACCCAGAAAGAGCAGCATTAAACCTCCAGCATCACCTCAGTGCACTACAAAATTGGTTCGAGAAGTGGCGCATCAGAATAAATGGAAATAAATCCTGTTACATAACCTTCACCCTACAAAAAGGTCTAACTCCTGATGTATACATCAACAATCAGCAAATACCACGAAAAACAGAAGTGAAATATCTCGGAATGACAATGGACAACAAACTTACGTGGAAGCAACACATAATCAAGAAGCGTCAACAAGTTGACTTAACCGTCAAAAAACTAAATTGGCTAATAGGCAAAAAATCAAAACTATCAATAGCTAACAAAATTCTGATTTACAAGACCATTATTATACCTATTTGGACGTATGGCCTGGAGCTATGGGGATGCTCCAGCAAATCAAATATAACAATAATCCAAAGAAGCCAGTCCAAGATCTTGAGAATGATAGCAAATGCACCATGGTACGTCTCCAATGCCACACTCCACACCGATCTCGGAATATCAACTGTCCAAGATGTCATCAAACGAAAAAGCACCAGACACCACACCAAAATCGAAACACATACAAATCCACTCATAATGGTGCTACGGGCGAGAGTAGTCAACAGACGACTAAAAAGAAACTGGCCAATTGACCTGATGTAAGGTACCGAGGATCCGTCGCTGGACGACTCCTCATCAAGACACCGAACCAAACAGACCATTAGCTTATAGAATGTAATTCTGATTGCTGATTAATAAAATAAAATAAAAATAAAAAAATAAAATATGCTATTAATATTTTTCGTGTGCAGAAGATGGTGCTTAGAATGATGACAGGTTTTATTAATAGAAACTCTTGTAGACAGTTATTTAAAACATTAAGAATTCTCCCCTTCAATCTCAGTATATTTTTTCTTTATTGTGTTTTGTGGTTGATAACATGGATTCATACCAATTTATATCAGATATACATAACAGAAATACAAGACAGGGTTACAAGCTTAATCTTTATCAACCCTCATCTCATCTACCAATACAGGGTGTTTCAAAAAGAGCTTTACTACTTTGAAAGCTTATATAAATTTATACAGAGGACATACACAATGTTTTTAACTGTCATAATGTCACAAAACACACGGAGTTTCATGCACGTGGTACTGTAGTACCCAATAAAGCCACCGCCAGTGCTCCCACAGTTGAAATCTAGATGGCTACTTTCACAGGTGCAGAGCGTGCTCATATGTTTCAGTACAAAGAAACGAAGTCTGCTACACAACTTCAAAGGAAATTTCGTTCTCAGTATCGCAAGGAACTTCCCAGTAGGCCTACAATTTACTCCTGTCACAAGAATTTTGTTTAGACTGGATGTTCTGTGGGCCATGCCAAGCCACCCAGTCGGCCACGTGTTTCTGATGCTACAGTGGAACAGATTAGGGAGAGCTTCGTTCGAAGTCCACGAAAGTCAACGCGACATGCGTCTCGGGAAACTGGTAATCCAAATGTTACCCTGTAGCGAGTGTTACAAAAACGTTTACACTTAAAAGCGTACAAACTATCCATCGTTCCAACACTTTACGGATGCAGATAAGGTGGTTCATAAGGAATTCTGTATGCAAATGTTTCATCGGATACAAGACAATGAGAAGTTTCTGGACTCCATAATTTTCAGATATGAGAGCACGTTTCATGTCAGTGGTAAGGCCAATACACACAACTGCAGGATCTGAGGCAGCAAAAATCCACGTGTCTCCCTGGAACATGTTTGTGATGGCCCAAAGGTGTATGTGTTTTGCGCCCTCAGCAAAGAAAGAGTATATGGCCCCTTCTTCTTCATGGAGACAACCATTACCAGTATCATATATCTGGACATGCTCCAAGAGTTCCTCATTCCACAGTTAGACGAAGATGACCATGAAGGACGCATTCACTTCCAGCAAGACGGCGCACGCCCTCATTACCTTGGAGAAGTGCGTGAGTACCCGTTTCCCAGGTCAGTGGATTGGTAGAGTGGTGCCGATAGCATGGCCACCTCGTTCCCCGGATCTTACTCCCATGGATTTTTTCTTATGGGGATCCGTTAAAGATTGAGTGTTCGTACCACCTTTGCCTGCAAATGTCACTGAGCTCCAAACTCGAACTACTACCTCAGTTGCAGAAGTAATGCCTGAGATGCTACATAGTGTGTGGCAGGAGACTGACTACAGGTGGCGCGTCTGCCGCATTACCAATGGAAGTCACACTGAACCATAACTATCCGAGGTAAAACTTGGTGTGTTTTGCTACATTATGACAGTCCAAAACGTTGTGTACGTCCTCTGTATAAATGTATATAAGCTTCGAAAGTTATAAAGCTTTTTGAAACATCCTGTATAACAGAAGGGAACCTTCTATATGGGTATCAACGTGTTTAATAATCTTCCTTTATGCTTAAAGCAATTATACAACAATTGCAATGGTTTCAAATCAGCTGTGAAGGATCTGTTGTGTTGCCATTCATTTTATACATTGGAAGAATATTTTGATTTTGAATATGATAAAAATAAAGATGTAATTTTTTGTAATAGGTGATTAATCATATACAGTTTCCAATATTTTATTTTTAGTATTGTTTTTATGCCCATATATGTAATGATATTGTGTAATGTTACTTGACTATTTGTAAGTTTGTACTGTGTTTTTATTGATTATGACAATTTCCACATCCTTTTACTTTGTATGGATCTATGGAAATAAAGGTGTATGAGAAACTCTATACTGAACCACGTGCAGTCTGTTATGAATTAATGTCTAACCGATACTTCAAGGCTTCTACCTAGAAAAATGCCAAGATTACATAAATCAGACAAAGAATAGCCTCTCTAATACAGGATCGACCATTTTGTGATATCCGAAAATCTCACCGTCACTAATCTCTACAACACGAGATCCGCCTTTTGTCGTGAAATCTGAAATGCTTAGTCACTAAGATCGCTAATATGAGATTCGCCACTTTGTTGTGGAGGTTGAAATTCTTACGTCACTAAATACGTGACCAACATGTTACCGATCGTATAAAACTGTAACTGCAAATCAGTATCTTTGCACACAAACTCTGGAAAACGCTCTGGAACGCAATCAATCTCTCTCTAACACCGAAAGAAACCGCCAAACACACTAGCTCTTTTGTTATAGATTACCTTCTTTCGTTTATCACATTTGTGCGGGGGAGGGGGACAATGTTCCTACTGTCATGTGGCTATGTGAAATACCTTATAACTTCATTGAACAATGCGTGAATTATCTGAACTTACCTTTCCACGAAATAAACTGGTGAGAGGCTAAGTCACTATTTACGACTAACCGTGAAGTTGTATGACGTTTACTTGCGTGCGCAACAGATTCTTCTGAACTTAAGAAGTAAAACTTTTCATAATACTCCAATGATTTACAAACAACGGCTTTATCGCTTACTACCAACTATAACTACTACGACGACTACGACTACTACTACACAAACTGCCGAAGGCTGCCGAAAATAGCGATTAGCCAACATTCAACAACCAACTTCAACATGCACACGCTTCGCGACCGTTGGCTACCCTGCCTGTTAGAAGCTGAAGAGTCGTAATCAGAGATTACTAGCATTACAATCCTCTGGATCGCCTCTGAATCTCTGGATAAAGACTATATGCAGATTCTGCGGTTCTCACAGGTTTGGTTACGAAGTGTTCTGGCTTCTATGAAGTAATTCCGTATAGTCCGTTGAAGTCAACCGAGGTTTCGGAGCTTCAAGATTTCAAGATGGTTTCTGGCTTGACTTATTCTTCAACCCTGAAGATGTAAGCAATGTGTTTCTCTGAAACGCCGGTTGACTTTCAACGGATTACATGACGTTATATCACAGATGAGAGAATCTTTCAGACCTATGTAAGATTCGAGGTTTTCTTCAGACCTAGTCCACAGCTTATTTCTCTAGGATAAATCCTTTTATTCGTCGTTAAATCTTTCAAACTTAAGGGATGTTTTAGACACAAAGTCAATAGAAAGTCCGTCGAGTGTAACAATTTGTAGGTCACTTCTTTATCACTTCTGCCTTACATGTTTCGGTTTAATAAAACCATCATCAGAGGCACATAGTATAATCATGATAACACTGTCGTTGTTTAAGATGTACACAGTTATATTTGCTGCGTGGACACTGCTACAATATGTCGACGTGTAAAAGCACAACACTTGCTAGGATTGTTGAATGCACGTTCAATTCTCGCATTCCATCCGAAACCGCCCTCAAGTTAAAACGCCAATGTTAAAATATTTAAAAAAAATTTTAACAATTTAATTTTTTTTTTAAACATTTGAAGTAAAATGTTAAGCTCCTCCTTGTTTTAGAATTTCGCATTTCTGACACACACAGAGCTAAAACACGTTGATGTCGTACTCAACAATTAACAAACACAAAACACTCCACAGCCCACTTCTACACATTATCAAAGTTATGCACGATTATCAGGTCATTAGGAAATTTAATTTTTTATTCTTATTGAGCTGGCACTTGTGGTCCACGTGGTAGAAGGCTGTGGCGGGATGCAGTTTTATAAATATATTATGTATTGTTGTGAAAGTGTGATATGGATACTAGAATGGTTTTGATATTTAGAAGCGAGAAACGTCTTTTAAGCTATATCCTTAATGCATAAATATAAAAATGAATGATCGAAAAACGTCAAATAGTTTTAAAAGCTATGTCGGATTTGAAGATGATTTCCAAGTAAGGAAGAAAATATTGTAATAGTATAGGATTGACTCTGTATGACGTTTGTATAATCAGCTTATAAATCTACCTATTTTAAGCAAGGTTATGAACATTGTTGAAGCTATAAATTTCGTATATGACGACAGCCCCTCCTGTAATTTAATAGGTTATGGTTGAAAAGTGTTCTCATTTTGCAGCAAATAATTATATCGAAAAATTATGTCTTCTCGGAACACCGTGTAGTGCTTTGGAAGTCAACCGACGTTTCGGAGGAACATGTTGCCTCGGTCTTCGTGGTCGAAGACGAAACCACTGCAAGTGAAGCAGGTAGCAAGTGGAGCTACATGTTTCTCCAAAACATGAGTTGACTTTCGGCAGACTACAGGGTGGTGTAATATCCCAGAAGACGGAACTCTTCATAACCACCACTGAGAATCTCAAGTCCTAGGTAATTATCCAGAAACTTGCTTTCTTTAAATTTTGGAAAGACTTGTATTTTTTTGCCAAACAAAACCCTACTAACAAATTAAATATGGAAATAAACTTTTATTAGAATCTAATGAGGTTAAATTCCTGGGAATAACACTGGATAATACTATATCCTGTAAAAAAAACCTATAGAATCAATTACAGGCAAACTAAATAAAGCCTGTTACATAATTAGGAAATCCAAACAGTACTTATGTAATGATGTTCTAAAAATGGTGTACTTTGCCTTTTTTCATTCAGTAATGTTTTATGGCTTGATTTTCTGGGGAAATTCAACTCATAGTAAGCATGTTATTAGATTGCAGAAGAGGGTTGTTTGATTAATTGTGGAAGCTGGGAATAGAGAATTGTGTACACTTCTTAGTCAATAAAAAATTCTACCTTTGCTCTCTCAATATATATATATATCTTGATGATGTTTGTAGTTGGTAATAAGGAAATGTTTTGTTGAAAATTCCAAGCTGTATACAACAGTAACTAGGAACAGTCTGAAGTTGCATCTCCCTTTATCAAATTTAACAGTTTTTCAGAAGGGTCCACAGGATATCGGACTTAAAATTTATAAGTCTTCCAGATAATGTAAAACAATTGTCCAGAAACAAACATCAATTTAAGAAAGCATTATTACTGTTTCTACATTCACACTCATTTTATGGTGTAGATGAATTTTTTGAACTACAGTGACAATAAAACTGATTAATGGGATTTTTACTTATATATATATCATTAAGTGAATATTTTAGATAATTATAATTATTTTATTCTTTTGACATGTGTGTCTGGTCTAAGATGCACTCTGTTACCTGTTATGTGGTGGAAATGGAGGTATGGTTGGCTCATTAATATTTAGGCAATTTGTTTAATTTCTTGAATCCAGTTTTTATATTTGTACTGAAGAGATTTGATATACGTATCAGTGTTCTCTTTGACTCATATAAATTGATTAATTGATGTAGGTAACTGTATCTATGAGACTTGTGTAATTTTGTATGAACATTGTTAAATGGACTATTTCCATATCCTCTGTTGTACCTATACATGGATACACAGAAAATAAATGAATGAAAATGAAAACATAGGTGTTTTTCAAGAAGTGACATGGGAAAGATTCATGGACCAGTTTCTCTACTCCAGAATAACAAGTCAGCCTTGACAAATCAAAGGAATGACAAACATGTTACTACATTTATAGTAGATCAACCACTGCAAATTAAACAAGAATTTTTAAATACAAGCAAATGTATCATCTAGTAAGATTGAAGATTTAAAATATTTTGTGTAACAAGATTATACAGTGAGTTATCTAGATAGTGCTGTGAAACTTATGCATCGTGTGCCAGTTAAACTTGTCAGTAGTGTCCCATTCTTCTGCTTGAATGTGGACTCACACATAAAACTTGATGTATGTTAGGTTACAGGGAATATAAATAGGTATAATCAAGTTAAATGTGTACCCCAGTTTAGAGTTTAGTATCCTCTGTATCTGAAAATTTGTTCTTTGGAAATAAAAGACTGAAAAGTCTGTTATGAACATTGTCATATCAAGTCTATGAGCAGGCTGTCAAGAATTCTACACCATTAATACTCCGGATTTCTTTTTTAAATAGTGGAAGATGTTGTAATGAAGCGAACATGGAAACCTTCGTGTAATAATAGTGGGATCTGCAATGATATTATTTATGCCTCTTATATCCACAGTTTTCAAGCCCTGTTTTTGATATACAGATGATGTTTTATAAGCACTTACACTTTTTTCTGGCATGTGTACATTCATACCTGACAGTTCAGAATTTTGGAGAATGTTATGTTGATTTAATGTAAAAATGTAACAAAACAATTTTGTGAAATTTAGTGATATCATATAGACCCTGTAGTAAAGAAGAAAAAATATTAAGTGACCCAATTACTTAGAAGTTTATTTACTGGAATTCTCTATGTAAAAATTTATAGCCTATGCTGTATTGACTCTTTGATTATTTATATGAAGTATGTAAAATATAAACTTTTATAATAATTAATTGGTGTACCTTAACATGATATAGAAGCCAAATATACATTTATTTCAGTCACTGCACCCAGGTGGTGAAGATAGTATCACAGAGCTGAACCCAAGACTATTGCCTGGTATGTATTGTAATATTATTTTCAAGCATTATGGTTTATGTCAGTGTTTTGTAAACTGGGCTGTAGACAAAGATTGATCTGTAAGGTATTAGCTGGAGGAGTATCATTTTCATGTTTAACAATGAAAATTCGCTGCTTCATTAAAATTTATACATATTTCTTCAGAATGCATTGCATTCATTATAACTAATAGGATCAGTTAAGTTATTTGCCACACAGTGGATACAAAGCTAAGAGACACTGTAGCATATAACCTACACAATGCATGCATCCAATTGCAAGCAACACATTAGAGTGTTTATTGAATGGAAACGAGAAAAAGATCTCTTTTATATTCCCCCCAGTTTTAGTGCATGGCACTGCTTGACTGGCAAAATGGGAGAGTTCACCTGTGGCTTTATTTGATTGGTAGGGTGATCACTGGTACAATAGGCCATAAGAGGCCGCAGTACAAGGGACTTAGTCCCACCCCACTAGCAATAAAAAAAATAGGGTGATCAAAACATGAACATGTGTACTGCAGTCTCCACAATTCTTTACAGCTCATCACTATATTTAAGTTTTATTTAACTATACAAGACCTCACTTGTAAACATTTTCTGCTTGCAAACAAAACAGGTATATTAACTTCACTGGCACAACAACAAACATCTGTTTCAAATTCACATATGTCAAACTTTGAATGAGTATGAGAGACACTGAATGTTAGGTTATACTGAAACTATGCTATAGGGTAGTGCCATTCAAAAACTGATGTAATCAACTGATGATGTGTGCTGTGTGTAGGTGAGGTTGTGATTGCTGAAGCCCAGAATGTATTGCTGTTTGCTCCTGTTAGTGAACAGAAGCAGGGCAAATCAGGAAGTTTGTGGGTTACGAACTTCAAGTTGACCTTCGTTACTACAGAAGAAAGGCCAAAAGAGGTAACTTGTTGCAGAACTACAAGTATAAAAAATACTATCTCCTAGTATATTGTCACGTGTTTTAGTCACTATAGATGGGGTTTGGATTGGTGAATAGATTTATTGACCACTCCCAGGTTGTAACTACAAAGAATTATTACACTACTGCTGATTTCCACACTAAGTCTTCTCAAGCTACTTTCACTACTCTGTATGTAGTAAGAGCACTCCACAATGGCTATTCATCTGCAGTGTCTTCACTAGACGTTTCCTGGTAAAAAAGTAAGTAAAGCTATCCCTGTAACAGGCCGTGAAGGCCCATAGGGTTGTGAGATGTTGAGGGTCCCACATCATCTAGACAATCAGCTCAAAGATGGCAGTAAGGTTGTCAGCCTTACGCGCCGGCCGCGCTTTACTCTCCAGGAAAATTATTTAATTCCTGGTACTCATTTCTGTTAGAGGCTGAGTGAACCCCAGGGCCATAGTGCAGCTGGAAGGATTAGATCAACTGAAAAAAAATCCAATGACCTCATCAGGACTTGAACCTGTGACCTTCCAGCTTGTAGCATAGCCCTTCAACCAACTACACTACCGCGTGTCCCTGACGTTTCCTGGTAATGAATCTTAGTGATGGAGATTATTCAGCTTCCGTTGCTCCCTGGTTAACACTCCACAGCTGAACACTCAACTCTCAACCCCATTGTACTCCCTTGCACTCCTTCAATTCTTCTCACTGCCCTCTTATAGTTCCCCAGCAGGGAACCCACAGAAAACGCTGTCTCTCTGTTGTCAAGAATGCGTGTTTATTGGCCTGTTACCTAGCAATGGATATACACGGACCACGTGTGTATTTCTGGTTTTGCCTAGAAATGGGTCTACATGTCACAATATGATGATGTGTAGTCTGATAGAAGCTTGCCTTAAACTACTACAAGAATACATGGCATCCTATCCTTGATGATCAGTGCTGTGAGAACTTTAAATCTCACACTGTTACAAGTATTTTATTTGTGTGTTTAATTTTGCTTTCTGTGTCAAGATATAAACAAGATAAGACTTAAAAATATATCACAAATTATTATAGCAGAGGAGGGCGGAAACTACACTCTGGATGGGGTAACTGTAGTCTTTTCTAGGAGCTGGATGGTTAATACAGGAGAGCTGTTTTGAAGAAAGTAACATAATTAGGCATATGTTCACCTACTGCATGTGGATTCTTGTTACATTCATACACATTATGGAAGCTTTAAATGTTGTCAAATATGCTAAGAGAAACTTCAGTAAGGATAACCAATAACATAAGTAAGATTTGACTCAGGTACCTCCTGTTACTGATAAACCACTCTGTTCAGTACAAAACATTATGTAGTTCAGTGTTATGTAACACACAAGTACAATCTCATAATAAAGTTATCATATTTTCAGGAATCTATACAGCAACAAAACTTACTGCTGGGAGGAAATGAAGTGTGCCTGTCAAACGTGGATGCGGTTTACCAGCTGATGGGGGACAAGAAACGTCGCCTCATGCCAGGCAGTAATGTATCTGTGAAAGTCAGCGGCCTTCATATTTTGTGCAAAGTAATTATTCTCATGTGACATTTGAGGTTCTGATAGTGCCAGCTGAAGAATACTGTTACCTAGTATGTGAAGTCTCAGTCTGGTAGCAAGCACTCACTTGGCTTTTTTTTTTTTTTAATTTCACTTAGTGGGGGTGGAGTCCAACTGGGTCCACTCAGCACGGCAGCCACTGTTTGGCCTATTGTAGCCTGCCCTGGGTGATTATGATGATGGAGAATTTGGTTGAATGAAGATTGGCAGGGGAAACTGAAGTACTCAGAGAAAACCCGCCCCAGCGCCAATTTGTCTACCACAAATCCCACTTGACCACACACGGGATAATATTTCTCATTATTTTCATGTAACTAATTCAATTGGGCAGAGTACTTCTTGGGAAACTAAGAGTTGCTCAGCTACTCAAGAAATTTTGCACCATCTATGGAACCCAGAGGTTCTTTATCATGTTTGTAGGAGGCAACAGCTGGTACCTATTGTGTCTCACCCTCACACCATTTCAGTTAAGATTAATTTTTTTTATTGCTAGTGGGGTGGGACTAAGTCCCTTGTACTGTGGCCACTTCTGGCCTATTGTACCAGCCCCAGATGATAGGTGAGGGTGATTGTGGAGCAATTGGTGGCATGAAGATTGGCAGGGGAACCGAAGTACTCAGAGAAAACCTGCCCCAGCTCCACTTTGTCCACCACAAATCCCACTTGACCAGACCCGGGATCAAACCCGGGCCACCGCGGTGGAAAGCCAGCGACTAACTGCTTGAGCTATGGCGTGGCCTTAAGATGCATTTTAATGTTATTCTTCCATCTACACCTGTGCCTTTCAGGTGGTCTCTAAGAGTTTCTGATGAAAAGTCTGCATTTCTCATATTTCTGGTGCATGCTAGATTCCATGTCCATCTCCCCGATTTCATCATCCTAATAATATTTAGTAAGGAGCTCAAATTATGAAGCACTTCACTGTGCAGTTTTCTCAAGTTTCATGTTATTCCTCCCTCCTGACATTCAATTTTTCTCAGCACCCTCTAGCACATTTGGGAGATAAATGCATAAAGAATTATAGACAGAAAATCTGCAGGAAAGAGACTGCTTGTGAGACATATACATTTCTTTTTTCCTTTGGTGCTACAGCCCCAATTTTGGCTTTGGCCTTCCTCCATGAAAATCTCCATTTAACTTTGGTTTACTAGATCTTAGGCATTCGGTAGGACTCTTTGGGTGGGTGATCAGCTCATTGCAAGGCCTCTACCTGTACACAAACGATCTGAACTCACAATCCCAGCTTCCGAGTGAGCAAAGACAGTGCATGCCTTAGGTAAGCCACACACCGGCATGCGTTAAGACATGTAACAGTGAAGACATGTTGCAAAGAAAGGAGCACAGTTGAAAGAAATGAGATTATGAAAACCACCGCACACCAGTCTGAGTCATGATACTGACATCAGCTTCATGCTGCAGACACGTGCAGCGAGACTTGGCAGGTTCTGTTTCTGTGCGTCGTGACTCAGACATCAGTACTCAAGGAACAGCACCAGTGTACATTATCGACATGAGTGAAGAGCATGACGTCATGTCATCAACTAGAGAAGATGTGGTAAGATGCAGACACGTGCTACTTTGGTGTGTGGACTTGAGTCTGAATCACGAATGAAGCAAGACTGTGTCTTTTCTCTCATGTCTTGATGCCGTTCGTGTGCAGCGGCCCTTAGACCTGATAGAGATATATGCATAGATGAAGATAATATTGATGTGCAAGTCTTAAAGAAATAGGATGTGAGGATGTGGATTGAATTAATTTGACTAGGATGGGGTTTAGTGAAAGCCTGTTTTGAATTACAGCAATGAACCTTCAGGATCTATAAAAGTAAATTCATACATACCATGTATAATGTACATAAGTATATATGAAGAAGATAACAAAGACTAACAGTAATGTCCTTACACCAAAATGGCTTCATACCGAGACAAACTGTCAATGGTAACATGCCTTGGACTGCTGTGGCCTGAGGTACAGATCACTTCATTTAATGAGCACAAATGATTAGGTTTTCTACTTTCACCTAATCCTGGATATTAATCCTCTCTCCACAATATTGGTGTCTATAACTGAAATGAGAGGACAGACATATAGGCCAGTTTAATAACATACTGTCATCACAAACCCTTTACACTCTGCACATTTTCAATTTGTTCATTTCAGAACATGAAGGTGCTGTCATTCAGCTTCAAGTTCTCACCTGTAGGGCATGGAAAGACCATAACCAATGCACTGCTACACCACGCTTTTCCAAGGAGACACAGCCTACTGTTTGCCTATGATTACAGGTCTGTTGTTGACAGTAATAGAAATTGTCTTTACTCTCTACAGGTTGATGTGTGAGCATTTTCTTGGACAAATGCATTTATGGACTTTGTCAGTTTCCAGAATGAACAGATAGTTTTCATAAACTTTCTTAACGGATATAGTTTACTTTCTTGGGGGGTAGATTATGAATTCTTACTTTTAGATGGATATGTGTTGCCTTAAATCTGTCCTTCTTTCTGAGGTGCTTCATCAATAGGTTAGAAGAGAAATGAACCCCATTGTTTTACCATGTAAGAAGAATGACTAGAACAAGAATACCAAGGGTATTAGAATTAAAATTTTAAAGATGATGTGTGATGATATGGAACAACACAGTTCAGCCAGGTACCGAAGACAAAATAGAAAGACACAACAAGGAAAGGCTGTGGTAATAAAGAAGAGACTGGAGACTTTTTGACCCGTCATCCCAACTAAATCGAGATGATACTAGAAGGAAAAAGTAAAGCATTAGTTTTTTATATGTTTATCAGGAATGGATTTTAAAAAGATCAAACACTAAAATCTTAATGAAGACCAGGAATGACGAGTGTTTCCCTTATTTTTGATAGTTTGCAGAATTTTTAAATGAGGTTTCTCTATATTATGCTTGACTCTTCGGCCTAGGTCACGCTATTGTGACAACACAGGTGCATGGCCCAACAGGCCTTAAATCACATTTTTGCCATACAAATACCATCACCCTAGAGTTAAATTCTAGCTGCTAGCACTCATAGTAGGGGAGAATTCAATTGTCTGTTCCTAAATGATACAAGTTAAATATGCACAGTACAAGGAATTCTATGATTGGTGATATTGCTATACTGTACTCTTGTGCAGTATAATAAAAATAATAATTACCCTTCTGTTTCAGAGAACCATACTATAATTTCCAGCGAGAAGTATGTTCCTTCCGGGGCCTGGCTGACTGGGAACGAGAGCTGTCAAGAACTGGTTGCCAGGGTTGGAGGCTATCAGCAGTGAATCAAAATTTTCAGCTTTCCACAAGGTGAAAATGATTTGGAAATCAGTGGCAGGAACTTTCTTTACACTCATCTTGGCCTTTAAATTTTGCTTTTATTCTTCCTTCACTCTTATGTATCACAAGTTATTGTAAAATGAAACCATCCATGCCAAAAACAGGGTTTGCAGCAATTTGGCCCAGTTTAGAAGCACACTGAGTGGTCACATCTTTGAATTCATTTCAGCTTCTAAATTGCTTTCCTTTATTGTGAGCGAGCATTTTTCAAATGCTCATACAGTTAAATCCACCCCATACTGACAAACCTTTCACTAAGAAATGCTACAAGCAGATTTAATTTTGTTACTGCATCTGGAGCCATGTCAACTCCTTTATAAATATCTGAAAAAGTAAGGAAACAATCAAAATTGGATTTACCTAAAATTTTTGATGAACTTTTCACACCAGATTATATACAGATTATAAGATTTGAGTCTCTTGGTATCTTGTCTTCTTGGATGAGACATCATGTAGTTTGGTGGCTAGGTAGCAATATTTTGGAGGAACTGTCTACCAAATTGGAAGGTGTCTCATCCAAATCCATCAAGTAATTTAGGAATTCAAACTTCTCAACAGGTTTTTATGTTCTCATGGTGATGAATATTAAGATTACTGTTTTCTGGGATGTCATACAGTTTGGTAGGTAGGTAGGTACCAACATTTTAGAGGAACCTCTCTACCAAACTTCATGGCATTGCATCCAAATCCAGCAAGTACTTTTGGAATTCTAACATCTGGACAGATGTGCATCTCCCTGTTATTTTCCACATATGATGCAGAATATCTAAAAATGATCTTTGTATTTCCAGTTTACCTCAGTGGTTGGTAGTGCCACAAGCACTATTGGACTGGCAGCTCGGTGATGCAGCAAGGCATTTTCGAGGATGTAGGCCCCCTGTTTGGTGCTGGGGAACGTCACAAGGAGCAGCCCTTGTACGCATGGCAGATATTGATCCCACTATTACTGAGAGGTGAGTATTTAGAACTTGTTTAAATGATAAATTGGTCTTGAGGAAATACTGAAACAGTCACCATAAGAATCACTTTGCAGATATGGATGTTGTTTTGGGTGAGGCACCATATAGAACTAGGCCATACTTCTGGTATTCTAGAGCTCATTACTGTCTGTCTTCAAGGCAAAAATGAGTGCTCAGTGGGCTATGTTGATATTGTGACGTATTTGCGATATGCAGGACACCCCCTCCCCCACCAGCGGTGACGTAACAGCATCAGAGCGCTGTCGCTGCTATGGTAACAGGCCAGTAAACACTCTGCCCCCCTCCCCCACAGTGATGTAACAGGGGACACCGCTGTAATACGAGGCAACAGGGAACAGTATACAAAGCCGGCTGAGCAGTATGTGAGCAGAGTGTGTGTGATCAGGAGTGACGCAGTGTGAATCATGAAGTCGCCAAGTGCAGTTGCAGTCTAGCATTGACCGGAGTGAATGGAGACAGACGAAGTATTTGTGATACTGCCGATGACAGTAAATGTGAGACTGTAAATTGTGTAATTGTGAGAGCGAGTGTTCAATAAATTCGCTATATTCAATATGACGTGAAGTTATTTGTCCCGTGACCTACCGAACACATGACAATTTGGTGTCAGAATTGGTTTACAAACTTAAACACGCCACAAATTAGAACGAACTGTTGTACATCGAGTGTTATCCTGCAACAAAAAAAAAGGGGGGGGGGAGAAGCAAGAAATGCAGGCAATAATTGAGGCAAAATTTACACCAACTCGAAAGCCTGGTGAGAAGAGATGGCCACAGAAAGAAAAGCTACCCAAGCAAGGACGGAAGCCGCCTGAGTAGAAACAAGAGCTGTCAAAGCAAGGATGGAAGCCATGTGAAGAAGGATGGACGCCAAGCACAAGGAGATAATAGCTGAAAGCAAACCTGAAATGGACATAGAGACAATGGCCTGCCAAGAGATGGAGGAACGTCTAGTAAAAGAAAAGCCAGCCTCAGTGGACATGAAACCTGAGGTGGCACAACAAGGCGAAATCCCTGGTGAAGATGCTGTTGTGAAACCGGTCAAAGAATGGAAGAAGCCGCTTTGGGGCAAGAGGCAAGCTGCAGAGTGATGCGAGGAGCCAAAGGAACTGACCCGAAGAATTTGTGGATCCTGGAGGAAGTTGGCTGCCGCCCGCAGGAAGGTGTTCTGCTGTGCAACAGTGGCACGACGTAGGAGAGAGGCCTTCAAGAAAGAACGGACCCAAAATCAGGATGGGTGCCACAAGAAATATGTCACCACTCCCAGAAGGATGACCCGCCACGCAGGAGTGGCACGGCGCAAGGGACACATCATCGGGAACAACCAAACTTGGAACAACATTGCAAGAGGAGCCCTCAGAGGGTGGAGACTTCAGGTGGAACCGGAGGGCAGCATTGGAGTGAAGGATGAACACACAAGACGGCGGCTGCATCCTGGGAATGAGAGAACATCCAGCTGAACTCTCAGGAAGACCCTAGGGCTGGATATGAGGCAACAAGCAGTAGAGATTTCCAGTGGATTACAGAACATCAAAAACTGGACACTGTGGAGGGGTTGACCCCCTCCGAAATGGAAAAGAGACTATAAGCAGAGGAAGAACCAGTAATGTAGAAAGACCGGCCTCCCCAGAGTGAATGAGGGGAGATGAAAGTGATATAACGGATCGACAAATGCTGGATCATGGAACTGTTCGGGATGAACAATCTTAACTCTTTGACTGGCGCGGGCGCGTTTTAACGCCCGGATGATGCCAGCCGTTCCCTGGCGTTGGCGTGTTTTAGCACTTTGATAAACTCATCCCTTATTTGCTCTCTTGGCACTCATCACCCAAAGACATATATATATGATAGTTTTTGTGCATGGTTGTAAAGAACCCTTGTTAACTTTGTGGGGGTCTATATTAGTGTCAGAACCCTCCGAGAAGGAAAAGGTCAGAAAATATTTCCCATTCATTCAGTTTCACCATGGCTTCTCACAGCAAGTGTCGGAATGTTCCTACAGACCAGCTGGAAAATGTTGTGAACGAGATTTGTGCTGATGATGATAGTGGCGATGAAATAATGATTCCTGAATTAGATGAAGTTGATAGTGACAATAATACAGTGATAGACAATGATCCACAAAACAGTAATCATGAACAGTTACCTACCACGAGTGCGGTGCCTGACACGCCCATCTCATGGACGTACGGAGACATTGTACCAACAATAGTTCTATTTACTAGTAGTTCCGGGATCAAAATTGATATAACACATAAAATGCACCCCTTTTCATGGATTAAAATTTTTCTGGATGACAACTTAGTAAATCACATCACAACTGAAACCAATCTCTATGCTTACCAGCACTTCAACATACATGAGTTAGCTCCTCACTCTCAAGAACACAATTACAAATATGTCACACCAGATGAAAACTGGACATACTTAAGAATTGTGTTCATGACAGGAATCGACAAACGCCCTGAAATTGAAGAATACTGGTCTACTAGGCCCCTATTTCACACTCCATGGTATGGACAAAAGATGTCTTTGCGGCGGTTGAAACAGATTTCAAAATTTCTTCATTTTGCTGACAACGATGCACGACCAGGTGACTGTGAAGATCACCTGTGTAAAGTTAGGCCAATTATAGACTCAGTGGGGAAATTTAGAAACACATATATCCCTGAAAAGGAAATTGCAATAGATGAAGGAATGATCGCTTGGAAAGGACGTCTTATCTTCCGAGTATATATGCCTGATAAACCTGATAAGTACAGTATAAAGGCTTATCTTGTTTGTGAATCGACAAGTGGATATATTTGGAATTTTGAAATTTATTGCGGAAAATCAAGACCTATAAAGGAATTAGTTGTCGATCTTTTGGGGCCACAGCTTCAAGATAAAGGGTATCATCTCTACCAGGATAACTATTACAATAGTGTAGAATTGTGTGAGACATTATTACAGAGAAATACCTGTGTGTGTGGAACCTTCAGAATGGACAGAGGAGCCCCTAAAGAACTAAAGGATGACATAAAAAATTTGAAAAAAGGGGAATCTGTGTTTTCTAGGAAGGGGCAGGTTCTCATACAGGTGTGGAGAGATAAAAGAGACGTCAAACTTATGTCCACTCTTCACACTGCAAAAATCGTGGAATCTGCAAAAATGAATCGCAAAGGAGAAAAAATATGCAGACCCGAGGTAATTGGGGACTACAATAAACATATGAGAGGGGTTGACAGGGCTCATCAAATGCTCCATTATTACACTTGTTCCTGCAAAACTGTAAAGTGGACAAAGAAACTGGTGTTTTTCTTGTTGCAAATGGCAGCGTTGAATAGTTTCATTCTATTCAAAAAGAACACAACAAACGAAAAATACAAGAAGAGAAATTACAAATTCAAAGATTTTATATTCGACTGTGTAGAAAAAATGACAGAACCAAACAAACAGTGTGGAGAGGGAGAACAGTCAAGGAATGAAGTGGATGACGAATCTATTGCGTCAGACTCGAGTGCAGTCACGCCTCCGCCCGCGACCTTGAGAAGACCACCAGTGAAAGACCCAGAAAATCGTCTAGAGGGTGGCTTGAAAGTTCACAAAATGGTCCATGTTCCTCCCAGTAACAATAAGAAGAATGGTGCCATGAGAAAGTGTTGCGTGTGTGCTAAGCACAAGATTAGAAAAGAAACAAGTGTCATGTGTGCAGGCTGTGGTGTGGCTCTCTGCAGACTTTCATGTTTCAATGTTTATCACACGAAGAAAAACTACTACAAAGGTATGGAAAGACATTTCTTGCATAAAACATTGTCTTTTTATTAGTTCCTGAGAATTTCGTGTTTAAAAACCAATTTTTGTTGAAGTTATTTAGAAAAAAGTAAACACATGCATTTTAGCGACTTAAGGCTTAAAGGGCCTGCCAGGACGGGTGGGATTTAAATACCCTTTGGGCCAGTCAAAGAGTTAAGAAGGGAGCGGATGTAACGGCCGGAGAATAGTCACTGCAAGCGGAGTAGCCAGACAAAAAGAAGACGTTGCAAAAGCAGCCTTCAAATAAAAGGAACGGGGATGCACCGTTAGGCTATTTGGGACAAACAGCCTTAAGGAGGGAGCAGTGTGACGTATTTGCGATATGCAGGACACCCCTTACCCCGCCAGTGGTGACGTAACAGCATTGGAGCGCTGTCGCTACTACGGTAACAGGCCAGTCAACACTCTGCCCCCCCCTCCCCGCGGTGACATAACAGCACTTCCCACTGTGACGTAACAGGGGATGGTATAAAAAGCTGGTTGAGCAGTATGTGAGCAGAGCGTGTGATCAGGAGTGACACAGTGTGGATCAGTCTAGCATTCACTGGAGTGAATGGAAACAGGAGAAATATTTGTGATACTGCCATAATTGTGAGATTGTAAATTGTGTGTGAGAGCGAGTGTGCAATAAATTTGCTATATTCAATACGGTGTGAAGTTATTTGTTGCGTGACCTACCCAACACGTGACAGTATTTATATACAAAATAATTTTGTAGACAGGTCTGTGAAGAAAGCTTAAGCATTATCTGTTGTTCGGACTTTATGAGGGAGCCACAAAATCTTCCGCCTGAGTGCATGATCACTGAAGTATCAGGAACTGCTCCGCCAATTGGCAGCAGATGGAAAGTGACACAGAGAAATGTACCTTGTAAGTTAGGTTTGAGGTTTCTACAGCATTAACTGTAAATATTAGTGTCTTCTCAGCAGGCTCCTCTGACAGTTAGAAGCCATTATGAAGCAACAGCTAGTGAACAAACAGCATTATCAATCCAAACCCCCGCATCTGGTCACTAACACATGATAATATGTATACAGCAGAAGAAAGGAACCCTTGTTCAGTGGCTGTAGACTGGCATGAAAAGAAATAAAATAAAACAGAAAGTTGAAACACATTGAAAAGATGTGAAGATTTTCAGTCCTTATAAACTATCACTGATACATACTACTTACACAGATGCAGTCGTTAACACTTACATCATGTGAAGCTAACCAGTACTGTGGGGGTCAAAAAGTTGTATAGCTAAACCACAAAATGGGTAATTGAGAGTGTACTGTAGTTGCTTTATTTTGATGACTAAGACAATAAAAATCTCTGAAAGATCAGCAGTACATTATAATTAAACTTGGTGCCTTCGGCAAGGAACAGGATCTGCTTTAGCCTTGAACTGGTAGCAAGATTTAATAAAAAATATGGCCGCGCCATAGCTCAAGCGGTTAGTTGCTGGCTTCCCACCACGGCGGCTCGAGTTCAATCCCAGGTTTGGTCAAGTGGGATTTGTGGTGGACAAAGTGGCACTGGGGCAGGTTTTATCTCAGTACTTCCATTTCCCCTGCCAATCTTCATTCCACAATCACCCTCACCTATCATCTGGGGCTGGTACAATAGGCCAGAAGTGGCCGCAGTACAAGAGACTTAGTCCCACCCCACTCGCAATAAAAAAAAACAGCCTTGAAGTACTCTTAAAACCAGAAAATTTCCAAGATTTTATTTTGTACATAATTATTTTGGGATTTAACATTACAGAGTAAAAGAAAATGTGATGTTGGAGAATGTGAGGAAGTCGCATCCTCACCTAAAACAGCCAGTGCTGCATGACTTGAGCAAAGACTTCCCAACCCCAAGAGATGTACAGCTCAGCTACACCAAACTCCGGAAACTGTGTGCACCAGGTTAGATCACTGTCAGTAACTGAAAAATCAATTACATTAATGGAGACTTTTTTAACTTAGTAAATTCATTCACAGCCCCACTGCTGTAGAGGTAAGCATTCTAGTTTCATAATAAAAAGAAAATATGGGTTAGTATGACAGCCGACCAGCTGTAGACAGGAATACGGTGAACTTCCAGAACATGTCCAACATACTGTACATGTATTTACTTTATTTATGTACACACTTTTTAGCAAAAAATTGTGTGAAAGTTATGGCATGCAAAATATGTGACTACTTCTTTCCAGAGTATAATTTTGTATGTGTCCATATTTTGTTAGTTGCTCAAGCATAAGTGCTTGTCAGCACTTTCAGAAATAATGATATGTCCAAACTGATAACATATTGTGGCATGTAGACCTGTTGCTAGGCAACAACCATGAAATAAACAACTAAGCAATGGCCCATAAACAGCAACAGAGGAAAGCTGTTTTCTGTGCAGTCTGTGCCAAAATGTTATGAGCAAGATGAATTGGTTAGTGAGTTAGAGGACTTCTGTGGTTCAGTCATTGTGAGCTGTTGCTGTTTGAAGCAGGTAGCTGGAGGAAGGGAACTGTTTGCCATTGGAACCAGCTACCAAGCAAGGACAGTGAAGATGTGACTGTGGACACTAGTGCGCTTGCATCACACACTATATCAAAGAGTCCCATAAATCTGATCATCAATAGTCACTTGATCACACACAACCATAGAAATCAGAAGTCAGGCTATATGAAAAGATGCAAATTAAATGATTAATTATTTAAATCCATATGTATTTAACCAACCATATGTGGCTAAAAAAGTTGGATGCAAGTATATAGTATTTAATGTTCACCCCCATCTGAAATTTCTTGTCTAAAAGTAAGGGTGCATAAATTATGTGAGTATATACAGTAATTTTGTGATGCAATTTCTAGTAGAATTTGTATGGATATAACGGGTGTTTCACTCGAGGTGGAACCCGGCATTTTGTTAATAACTCGGATACTAATAAAGATATTGCAACGAAATTTGGAATGGCTTACCTCAGTTCATGTGGAGTCTGGTGACATCATAACAAGTGCTGGAAATGGCCATCATTTGCGTCCAGACAGCATTGGACTCGGCGTGCCATGTTTTGGAAAGTCCTTGCCCATACGTCAGGTGTCACTTCTTGGATGACCTCACTTATGTTTGCTTTTAAAGCCTCTATGGTTCGCGGTTTGTTGGCGTAAACTTGCGCTTTCAAATGTCCCCACAAAAATAATCAGGTGGCGTTAGATCGGGCGAGCACGGTGGCCAAAGTCCCCTGGAAATGACGCAGTCGCCAAAAAAATACTGGATTTTGGCCATGCTTGTGTGCGAGGTGTGTGCTGTTGCTCCATCCTGCTGGAAATAACTGATAGATAATTCCTCATCGTCCAGTTGATTCACAAAGCAGTGGAAGATATCTAGGTACACTGCTGTTGTGATTGTCATGTCGAAGAAGATGGGTCAAATTATGCGCTGCCGGGAAATTCCACACCAAACACCAATCTTCTTGGAATGAAGGGGTTCTTTGTGTATCGCATTGGGATTCTCGCTTGCCCAAATGCGACAGTTTTGCGAATTAATGTATCCGGGAAAAAGTGCGAAGAGAGTGGCATATTGTCAATGGTTACAGACCCTTGTCCAGGATAATCCGGACATTCTGGACTACACTTGGTTTTCGGACGAGGCGTGGTTCCATCTTTCCGGATACGTTAATTCACAAAATTGTCGCATTTGGGCAAGCGAGAATCCCAATGCAATACACAAAGAACCCCTTCATTCCAAGAAGATTGGTGTTTGGTGTGGAATTTCCCGGCAGCACATAATTGGACCCATCTTCTTCGACACGACAATCACAACAGCAGCGTACCTAGATATCTTCCACTGCTTTGTGAATCAACTGGACGATGAGGAATTATCCATCGGTTATTTCCAGCAGGATGGAGCAACAGCACACACCTCGCACGCAAGCATGGCCGAAATCCAGTCTTTTTTTGGCGACTGCATCATTTCCAGGGGACTTTGGCCACTGCGCTCGCCTGATCTAATGCCGCCTGATTATTTTTTGTGGGGACATTTGAAAGCGCAAGTTTATGCCAACAAACCGCGAACCATAGAGGCTTTAAAAGCAAACATAAGTGAGGCCATCCAAGAAGTGACACCTGCCGTATGGGCAAGGACTTTCCAAAACATGGCGTGCCAAGTCCAATGCTGTCTGGACACAAATGGTGGCCACTGCTCGTCTAACTTTTAATGGTCTACCAGAAAAGTGTAAAATAAATAGGAAGGGGCAGTGCCATAGCTCAGGCAATTAGTTGCTAGCTTCCCACTGTGGCAGCCCAGGTTTGATTGCAGGTCATGTGGGATTTGTGGGAGACAAAAGTGGCACTGGGGCAGGCTTTCTCTGAGTACTTTGATTTCCCCTACCACTTTTATTCTACCAATCGCTTCACATTCATTAATTGTCCTATCTTCTTGATACTGACACCATCATTAAATAATCAACTTAAAAAATGAGGAAGGACTGACACTGATTGACCTAAATTATACAGGGTGTCCCAGGAGGAATGGACCAAACTTCGGGAGGGTGTTCCTTATGTTAAAGTATGCCGATATAACCCAAAACACCTATGTCCAAAGTTGAACGGTTACGGAGATAATGGCCCGAGAAAAGTGTGGTCTTCTTGCAGGTCCACGCACTGTGGACAGTCAGCTGTGACTGTTATCTGTTTGTACTTGAGTGTGGTGATGTCACACTAGCCGTGATCTCAT